TTTATGAATGTAGAAGATTTAATGAGTTGATAACAATGAAATAAGATTGGAGAAAAATAATTTAAACACATTTTTTCACCTTTTCAATTCCAGGAAGAAATTCTATTTTTGAGTATAATTAAGATCATTGGAAAAATTGTTGCGCTGCTTAATATTTATTGATTATGGAAGTGTTTTAATTTCACTAGAAGGTTTCTGCTTTGAATAAATATCACAAAATTCAGATGTGCTTCGTTTTTATGGTGATTTATTTGCTTTAAAATAAAGCAAATAAAATCTCACTAATTTTTTTTTTATAATTATCTGATAAAGATTTAATTGAATTGATAAAGAATGATGGTCATAAATTATCATGAAATATGGTCAATATTATTACATAAAATCCGGAAATGATAGCGTTTCTTTGCTGCGAGTTTTTGGTACTTTCGAGTAAGGAATAGGATACAGAGAATGTTTGCAAAAAGTTGCCTGATATTGCAGTGAAATCACATATAAAGGATAGGAAAACTTTTCTCTCCTCACTTGCTAAAATAAAAAATGATATTGAAAAAGCAAGGAAAGCGTTTGACCTTTGATAATCGATATGTGCGAATTTAATGAGCTGATAACAATGAAATAAGATTGGAGAAAAATAATTTAAACACATTTTTTCACCTTTTCAAGTGAAATTAGAATATTTGATGGAAATCTTTGCATGCATGCGATTTATTAAAACAGAAATCTTCGCCTACGATTTTCAGTTCGTTTCCATTCCCATTTTTCGGCTTTTCTTTTAGTCTATTTTGTTATCCTTTTGACTCAGTGGATTTGTGCTCACGTTTTGCAGTGTCGATGCTTTGGCTCCATTCCGTTGAAGCTTTTCAGAAATCGGATGATATTACGATCCATGCTATATTTCTATTATGGGTCCCTAGTAAAATTTCTTTGACCCAACAAGTTAATCAGTCTGGCCTAAAGAAAAATTGTATGATAGGCTAAATTTAGGACAATAAGCTAAATTCTATATCATGTAGTTTCATTTTATTAAATGATTCACTCTAATAACAATGATAGGCATTAATAACAGTGTTCCCCACTTATAATTTCTCAAATCATTATGCATTATTATACGCACAAAAACTGATAGCAATTCAAAGGCAAATGTTGATCCTAAAAAATCAAACTAAAAACTTCAAGTTTTACGACCAAATGAGAAAGACATTTCATAATTTTTCAACTTTTCTTTCAATCTAAAGAATGTTATGTATCAAAGCCTTTTAATTTTATTAGTTCATCATTGAAAAAACATGCAAAATTTATTCATATTTCCTTGTATTGGAAATTTCCATTAAAATTTCATCTATTTTGATAGACTCGTTTTGTTATTTAATAATGGTAATGGCGATAACGGCTTAACAAAAATATTCGTTGTATATTTAGAAAATTGAATTAAATAAGCGTTTTAATTAATGCGATTCGCCAACAAAATTAGTTGGTTTATAATTAATAATTAAATTTTTATGCAGTGTCATTATGAATATTACTGAATTAATTGAATAACAATAGTATTTGTTTAAGCCAATTATTGCAAAATAACTTATCATTCTTAATATAAAAATATAGAAACATAGAGGAATATAAAAAATAAAAATAAATGAAAACAATCAATAATGATAAGAGCAACAATATTTATTAAATAAAAATATTGGTAACATTAATAATATCAATGACCGAAATAATTAAAAAGGTTTGTCTGGAAATTAATTGAAAAATTGCAAAATTTGCTTTGAGAATTCACCTTATATGCTTTTGCTTTTAATTTTCAAAAAAACATTTATTCAGAAGGCAGAAAACAATTTTTTTCCTGTTTCTTTCCTTCTCAAATTATCAGCACAAACTACAAGTCATCCGACATTTAACTCGCATATGAGTTGCATAATCACCAATATTGCAAAGATTGCGATACTTTGGGCAATCGGCATGCTCATCACGACAGCTGCCTGCAGGCGGCACTGCTACAATATTACTTTTAACAATTTCCCTGCATTTTTTACTTTTTTTTTTTACTTTTTGCCAAACTTTCTATGATTTTGAGGATAGGATGATTTTGATATGTTGTTTTATTGTTTTTGTTTTAAATTTAATATGGATCTTTCTTTCACCTCAATGTTCGGTAGAAAAAAACGAAAAAATGATTTTGTGGAAGATTCAATTGCTTTTTAAGTAATTGCACCGGCACCGCTCATTTTTTCATCATTTTTAAGAATGCACAAATCAAAAATTTAAAAATTTTAGATTTTAATAATATTGATGCTATGAAATTTTTTTAAAAAGTATGTAATTAAAAAGCTTTCAAATTTGAATAATGCGATGCTTTTTATAAAACAGAAAATTTTTTATTCTCTCAGCCTTCGATAATAATTGTATTATAAAATGAATATAATCTACTTGTTTGATTTGTAAGGCAGTCTCTTGAGAAACATGTTTTTTGGCATAGCCTTCTGACATTGCTGTCGGTACAAAACGCCACCAGCCTTCCGCATCCATTAATGGTGTCTGGTGATTGATGCTCCTCTTGCTCCAGGTTTATTGCAAAGTCCACAGGTTTGTGGGCAACTTATCAGTGCTATTTGATGCAAACTATTTCGAATTGTTCATTTCGATTTCTTCAAGTGAATGGAAGGATTCAAAAAATATTTACGGATCCGTTTGTTCTTGAAAGGTTTGGGCTGCGGTAGCGTGGACCAATGCAAATATAGAGGAACGTGATGATTCTAAATCGAAGCACGAGACTAGTTGTGCGCTCTATGGGCGCTTGTGCTCCTACTGGCTACACGGTTTTATTGTAAACCGTTTATCACCATATCAGCTGAACCATTCACGCAATATGGTATGAAGAAAAGGATCGCACAAGCGAAGCATATCATTATCATTCGTGAAATAATACTGTAGAGCATTTACTTTGTCCTTTTATAACCGTTTTTTGTGATATAAAAAAATATAAATAATTAATTTTCAGTCAAATTCAAA